AAGTCAGAATGTCTACAGTTTCCCTTGTGGCTTACCCTTGTGATTTCCTCTACTTCCACCTTTCAGTCCTTATGAATAATAAGCATTACTCATCTAAGCCTGAATGCTTCCTGAACTTAACCTGAGCTGATAAGGGACCCTGACTCATAAAGGTCAGCAAAACTGTACTGACTAACAGTACTGAGGAAAGGCAAGGACCAGAATCTATGTGCAAAAACCTTTTGCGTCCTATAAGAAGTTCCAGTGAAGCAAAAGTCCGGACATTAAGGATCAGGGGGCTTCTTGGACCTCATAAAGCAGCTTTTAGGATATGAAAGGAACTTATGTTGTCACCAGGATTGTGTTTAGTTTCATAAAACTGCTTGTTTTTAAAAGGTCATTCTTCCTAAAACTGTAAAACAGGTCGATTACTTCTATAGTCAATCACAACCCTCCCACCACAGGCTTATTTGTGTTAACTGAGAGCCTAGGACCAGTAACAAAATTGGTTTCAGGATGGAGGATGGCTGCAGACTGAGTAATTTCTGTTTCTGGATCACCTTTGCAATGCATTCCAGGTTCAGAGTTGTCAATTCTCATTTGGTAGTAGTCAGGTGAGCAGCAGATTTGGGAGTTATGTCCCCAGATGGGTTGAGTAACCCCACTTGGGTTGAATGCACAGGAGGCATTAGGGGATGAGCAGTAGATTTGGGACTCTGCCATCAGTTCACTTGGGTTGAGTACAGAGGGGACAATAAGGGGAACAGCATATCTAGGACTCTATGTCTTTTGTCCACTTGGGTTGAGCACAGAGGGGGCATTAGGGATTGAACAGCAGATCTAGGACTCTATGGGGTTTATTTACTAAACCTGGTTGACTCGGAATCTTGTCCACTTCTGCATAAAAACCAATCAGCTTTCAGGTTTTATTGCTGAAGCTTAACTGAACATGCTGAGGTTAGAAGCTGATTGGCTACCATGCACAGGTGCCCAAGATTCTGAGTCAACCAGTTTTAGTAAATCTCCTATTATGTCTCCAGTCCACTTAGGTTGAGTACAGAGGGGGAATAGAGGATTATCAGCAGATCCGGGACTATCTGCCCCAGTCCATGTGGATTGAGTACAGAGGGGGCAATAGGGGATGATTAGCACATCTGAGACTCCCTATCCCCAGTCCACTTGGGTTGAGTACGGAGGGGGGCATTAGGGGTTGAACAACAAATCTAGGACTCTATGTCTCCAGTCCACTTGGGTTGAGCACAGAGGGAGCAGTAGAGGATGATCAGCAGATCTGGGACTCTCTGTTTCCAGTCCACTCAGGTTGAGTACAGAGGAGGCATTAGAGGGTGATCAGCAGATCTTGGACTCTGTCCATAGCCCACTTGGGTTGAATAAAGAGGGGGCATTAGAGGGCGATCAGCAGATCTTGGACTCTATGTACCCAGTCCACTTGGGTTGAGTACAGAAAGGGCAATAGGACATCATAGGCAGATCTGGCACTCTAAGTGCAGAGGATGCATTATGGGTCTGAGTGAGAGAAATAACTTCACCACCCTGCTATTGTCACTGGAAGTTAGGGAAACTAAGCAACTATGAGGTTATATCTGTGGAACGCAGCAGTTGAGTCAGCTGTCACTTACATGTTGTGACTGTTGTCTTTTGACTTCCTTGTAAGGTTGAAGATAACATCTTGAAGTTCTGATGTGTGAACTGGGCACTGTGGTAGGGTCAGTTCCTCATGTGTCATAACTCTAAATCATCACATACGAAAGAAACAGATTAGTATTACATGACATACCTCTACTGGGAAAGAAAAAAAGCAAGGCCACGGTTTTAACATTTTTGTATAGGCTTGGGACTTTTAAATATCTTGTTTATTTCACTGAAAAAGACAATAAAACAGTAATAAACCCCCAAAAATTGCATATATTGCAGGTTACCAAGTCTTGGGGATTATTCACACCAGTGCATTTTAACAGAGCTGTAAAACGCAGATCAATTGAAGGACACCTGAAAAACTATTTTCAAAGTGTCTCATTCGCACCATAATGTTACATTGCGCTGCGCTAAAATGCAAAATGTATGTTAATGGACACCAAGATGTATGTCAATGGACGTCAGTGTGTGTTAAAACGTGACTAAAATCGATGGAAATGTACAAGTCAGTGTGAATTGACCCTTAGTGTGGTGGCTGCATAAGTTTTCTTTTTTAGGCTTTTTTTCCCCCTTTACTTTCACCTGGTGGTCCAGGCAGTAAGTCTACAATTTTTTTTTAACTCTCTAGATAAGGTGTCAGAGAATTGAAACAAATTATTTAAAAGAGAAGTATTTTTAATCATATACTAGGTGGATGCAGCATCGATCCAACACAGCATCTGTCCCCTGACGACTCCAAGGGTGAGAACTGAGTGATCAGATGCAGCAGATCACTTAGTACTTCCTGCAACTCTGTCAGTCACCACTGTCTGCTCTCCACCCCCCCTTTTGCTGATAGGCTGAGCCAGATGCCCATCCAGGATCCTGGGTGGATCCCAACCATATGATTTCCCCAACCTGGACCGGCTGAGTAACGCCAGCTGACAGCAGACTTTAGCCCGATGTCAGCTGAAAATGGGTCATGGGAGTGCAGAACGAACTGCACTCCTGTGATCCACAGGAAAAGTACAGCCAAATGAAGTGTGGCTGTACTTCTCCTTAAACCACTTCCCGACCGGCCGTTGCATATAAACGGCCGGACGATGGCACTGCAGGGTTGGGTGGCCGTTTATAAACGGCCTCCCCGCACCCTGCTTGTGCGCGCTCCCTGGGAGCGCGCAGCACCGCGATCCGGTGCCCGCTGTGTCCTCCGGACACAGTGAAACACCGATCGTCGGACGGGACCTCTGTACGAGGTCCCGATCATGTGATCACTGATTGGCCAATCAGTGATCACATGCAAAGTAGTAAGCAAGATGTCACTTCTGACATCATTGCTTACTACGTGTGAAATCTGTGAATGATCACAGAGGTCACATGGTACAAGGCTATTCACAAAAGCCTTGTACCATGTGACAAGCTGTGACCAATCACAGCTCACTCAGTACTTCTCAATGAGTGCAAGAATGCACACAGAGAGAAAGAGAAATGATTGCTTTTACATCCATTATGGGTGTAAAAGCAATCAGTGTAAAAAAAAAAAAATCTTCATCACCCCCCACAAGTAGTACAGTGTCACCATGGTGACACTGTACTGCTAGGGTGACAGTATGTAAAAAAAAAAAAAAAAAAAAAATAATATAAAAAAATAAAATAAAAATGTAAAAAAAAATGTTTAAAAATTATAATTTTTGGTTAATAATTTGGATTTTTTTTTTTACTAAAAAGATAACGGAATAAATTTTGGCTAAGATTTATGATGAAATATTATTTATTTGCAAAATTGTATAAAAAAAAACACTTTTTTTTCAAAATTTTTGGACATTTCATTTACATAGCAAAAAAAAATACAAATCCCAGTGGTGAATAAATACCACCAAAATAAAGCTTTATCTGTCTCAAAAAAATGGTAAAAAATTAATTTGGGTACAGTGTTGCATGACTGCGCAATTGTCATTCAAAGTGTGATAGCGCTAAAAGCTGAAAATTGCCCTGGTCAGGAAGGGGGTAAAAGTGTCCGGTCTGGAAGTGGTTAAAGGATAAGTTCACCTTTTAGACAAAAATGATAAATGCACATTTTTTTGCGGGTAAAAAAATGTGCATTTATTATTTTTGCCTACAGGAGCCTGGAAAGCATTGCACCAGCGATGAACCACAAGTGGGAGCAGCTACTTGTCAAATCAAGATACCTGCTCTCCCCCAAAAAGTGCCAAATGTGGAAGTGGGAGGGTAGTAAAGGGTAGGGATTAGTAAACTGCAAAATGTTACATTTCTGTTTTTGAGTTTTTATTACCACTTTAACCCATCACTGCCTGTATCACTTAAAGCGTATGTAAAACATTTTATATCTCTTTGTAGAGAGTTTTCCTCTCACTTTGTGTTTCATCTTTAGGAAATTTCCCCTTCCCTACTCTATCCATAAGAAAACTGAAAAGAAAAAATATATGGCTTTACTTACACAAGTGATGCAGATAGTGATGGGTTAATGTACCTTTGCTGCTGACATTATTTGAACAAGGGAGTTGCTCATCTGAAGTAATTCTCCTTCCCCCATACGGAATTCATTTTTATTGTTTTGCACATTACCACAGCAAACTTTCGCAATGAGTAAAAAAAAAAAGTCAGCGGCTACAAAAACTGTAGCTGCTGACTTTTAAAATAAAGACAGTCACCTGTCCCTCGGTCCAGCGGTGTTCTGTCTCTCCAATCTAAGCAGTGATAGTGTGATCTCTGTAACTTACAGTTGTGATGAGATAGCAATAACTTCAACCTCAGCTGGATACCACAGTCAGTGACTCAATCGATAAGACATCTTGTAGATCTTGTGAAATTTATTCCATAAACTGAGAGAATCTTACAACAATGAACATTCGATAAGTCAAAAGATCATAGTGTTTTCTGCTGCATGCCATGAGGTTAGAGCTGCAATGCCTTACTGGGAAAAGGGGTGGGATAACTATACAGCATTAAATAAACCAAAGGAAAGGGAGGAGCAGAGACAAGATATAGAAAACACTTAAAGGCATATGACAGTCAATATGACAGTCATGTGAAACATGACAAGCGGTGTCCTCACCACCGCTGGTTTCACTGGTAATCTTCTTTCCCCGGCATCTTCAGTGTGGACACCTGGCTATGACGGCTTGCGGCTTCACAGCCAGGTGCCCACTGCGCATGTGCGAGAAGCGCTGCGCTTTCTGAATGGCCCCATAGTCTTCTGGGACATGTCACAACTTCTGCTTTTGATCACCTAGGCGATTGCAGTGGAAGTGGCAGCGAGTACCTGTCAAATTCAGATACCCACTCCCCAAAGGTGCCAATCCTTAATGGGAAGCGGAGGACAAAGGCTTTAAAGCGGAGCTCCACCCAAAAGATGAAGTTCTGCTTTAACCACTTGCTGTCCGCCTGCTGTTTATAAACGGCAGGGCGGTGCAGTCCAGAGGTGGGTTGCCGTTCATAAACGGCACCCGCCTTTTCTAGCTGTGTGCGCTCCCTGGGAGCGTGCAGCACCACGATCCGGTGCCCGCTGTGTCCTCTGGACACAGTGAAACACCATGATCTGGTGCCCGCTGTGTCCTCCGGCCAATCAGTGATCACATGCAAAGTAGTAAGCAAGATGTCACTTGTGACATCATTGCTTACTACGTGTGAAATCTGTGAATGATCACAGAAGTCACATGTTACAAGGCTATTCACAACAGCCTTGTACCATGTGACAAGCTGTGACCAATCACAGCTCACTCAGTACTTCTCAATGACTGCAAGAATGCAGACAGAGAGAAAGAGAAATGATTGCTTTTACATCCTATATGGGTGTAAAAGCAATCAGTGTAAAAAAAAAAAAAATCTTCATCACCCCCCACAAGTAGTACAGTGTCACCATGGTGACACTGTACTGCTAGGGTGACAGTATGTAAAAAAAAAATAAAAATAAAAAATAATATAAAAAAATAAAAACAAAAATGTAAAAAAAAAATGTTTAAAAAATATAATTTTTGGTTATAAACTAATTTGGATTTTTTTTTTTTTACTAAAAAAATAACGGAATACATTTTGGCCAAGATTTGTGATGAAATATTATTTATTTGCAAAATTTTATTAAAAAAAAAACACTTTTTTTCAAACTTTTTGGACTTTCATTAACATAGTAAAAAAAATAAAAATCCCAGCGGTGAATAAATACCACCAAAATAAAGCTTTATCTGTCTCAAAAAAATGGTAAAAAATTCATATGGGTACAGTATTGCATGACCGCGCAATTGTCATTCAAAGTGTGATAGCGCTGAAAGCTGAAAATTGCCCTGGACAGGAAGAGGGTAAAAGTGTCCGGACAGGAAGTGGTTAAGGTCTCCTCCCCCACTCCCCATTAAGGATTGGCATCTTTGGGAGCAGATACTTTATTTTGACAGCTATCTGCTGCCACTTCCGCTGCGATCGACTAGGCGATCAGAAGCAGAAGTTTCCCCCCCCTCCCTGTAGTCTTCTGGGACATGTGACAGGTCCCAGAAGATTACGGGCCATTCACAAAGCTTTTCGCGCATGCGCAGTGGGCACCCGGCTGTGAAGCTGCAAGGGCGGCAGGGAGAGAGGACTTCCAGTAAAACGGGCTGCAGTGAGGACACCGCAGGATCGAGGGACAGGTGACTGGCTGTTTTTTTAAGAGTCAGAAGGTACAGTTTTTATAGTTGCTGACTTTTATTTTTTTTACATTTTAACTGGAGCTCTGCTTTAAGATCTCCATGTGCATCTCCAACTATACATCCATGTGGCTGTGTGGGTGCGATGCACAGATCAGAACACAGACTGCATTCTGGGATACACATGGAGATCTATGCAGGTGGATATCTGTACTCGGCTGCACAGAATACCTGAGCATCCCATGTTGGTGAAGAGGGCATCTCTAGGGCATTTTTTCCTCACACTGACGTACAAATAATTTCCTCTCCTGCTAACACTGGGGCATTTTTACATCCCAAGGAGAAAGGGACTGTAACAGCGTATACCCAGAGATGGACGCGGCTCAACCATTTTGGCTTCAACCTCCATCTTGGCAAAGGGGTTAACCATCCTGACAAATATATTTCTCCCCCTCATTCCCCCCCTTCCTCTCTGTTCATCCACAGTGACATCTGGTTGTGGGTCACTGACAGGCTAGAGCCAGCAGGGAGCCCAGAGCTATAAAGCCCCCTAAGGGAGCTGGGACCTCCCTGTCCAAAGAACCTGCAAATTGTAACACCTCGGAAGAGATAAGGCAAGCTTTCCCAGGAGTTGAAAGAGATTCCAACCTAATAAACCTAACTCAGCATAGGTGACAGAATCAGATAACCTTTGTTAAAATCCATCTTTCCCCTATGTCTCATATATTGGAATATGAGAGACTTACATAAAAACCAGGCATATCGTCAGATGGGTGATGAGCAGGCGAACAGTTTGATGGGTCACTCGCCTTGTCTCGGACACATAGGAAAGCAGAAAAATAGATCTCGTGAACCGTTCAGTGTATAATTTCATAATTCATATCTAATCAATCCTCAGACTTGTTTGCATAATAATCTACCCGCGGGTGGAATGTCACTTGTGCAGATGGAAAGTTATGGACCAAAATATGAGTTACGGGAGATTTTGGCTCTAGTTGAGGTATCCACCCATACCTCCACATCCTAAGCGGGTTATTGGTCCTTGACTTCAGAGACACCCCCTGCTGGGGGCTTCAAAATAGGCTGTCAGGCCTAAGAGTGAGAGTTGAAGACGTCTCCTATTTTAACATCAATACCACCTGGGGAGACCCATGCCCTTTTGCTCTGAAACTTGGATCTGCTAACCCAGGACTTTTGCCTACATAATTGCCTTAATTCTTCATGGCATAGATTCAACAAGGTTGGAAACATTCCTCAGAGACTTTGGTCCATATTGATAGGAGTTACTGTAGCCTATCATCTCTAACCAGTCTGCCCATTCTCCTCTGACCTCAACAAGGCATTTTTGTCCACACAACTACCGCTCACTGGATATTTTCTCTTTTTCGGACCATTCTCTGTAATCCCTAGAGATTGTTGAGGGGGAAAATCCCAATAGATCAGCAGTTTTTAAAATACTTAGACCAGACCGTCTGGCACCAGCAACCATGCCACATTCAAAGTCAATTAAATCCCCTTTCTTCCCCATTCTGATGCTCGGTTTGAACTTCAGCAAGCCGTCTTCACCACGTCTAGATGCCTAAATGCATTGAGTTGCTGCTATGTGATTGGCTGATTATAAATTTGTGATACCAAGCAGTTGAACAGGCGTACCTAATAAATCTGAGATCAGGAAAGAGACAGCTGCAGATAGTGCTTCGTAATTCTGTGTGAGCCTAGGGAAGTGAAAAAAATTAAAAACTTTCCATTTGCCATGTGAGAAGGGGGGCTGCGGCAGCTGTTACTTAACGATGAATGAAACTCCTGGACACTTTTGTGTCAATCTTCCAGAGTGCTCCAGCGGATTGATGTAGAAAAGACCGGGACAGGTGCCTCTGCACTGCAGATTAGTCCGCCAAACCCGAACATGAAAAAATAGTTCCCAGTCTGCCGCGGCCCCCCTTCCCGCACATCAAATGGCAACAGAAAAGCTTTGCACAGTTTTTAAACTCTGACCCTCTCCTGTACTATGCATGCAGCCCTCTGACCGCCTCCTGTACCACGCCTGCAGCCTCTGACCGGCTCCTGTACCACGCCTGCAGCCTCTGAATGGCTCCTGTACTATGCCTGCAGCCTACTGATGTTTGCCTGTACTATGCCTGCAGCCTTTGACCCTCTCCTGTACTACACCTACAGCCTCTGACCCTCTCCTGTACCACGCGTGCAGCCTTTGACCCTCTCCTGTACCACGCCTGCAGCCTCTGATCCTCTCCTGTACTACGCCTGCAACCTCTGACCCTCTCCTGTACTACGCCTGCAACCTCTGATTCTCTATTGTAATATGCCTGCAGCCTCTGATTCTCTCCTGTACTACGCCTGCAGCCTCTGATCCTCTCCTGTACTACGCCTGCAGCCTCTGATCCTCTCCTGTACTATGCCTGCAGCCTCTGATCCTCTCCTGTACTACGCCTGCAGCCTCTGGCCCTCTCCTATACTACGCTTGCAGCCTCTGACCCTCTTGTGTACTACGCCTGCAGCCTCTCGCCCTCTCCTGTACTACGCCTGCAGCCTCTGATCCTCTCCTGTACTACGCCTGAAGCCTCTGATCCTGTCCTGTACCACGCCTGCAGCCTCTGATCCTCTCCTGTACCACGCCTGCAGCCTCTGATCCTCTCCTGTACCCTGTGATCCTCTCCTGTACTACGCCTGCAGCCTCTGACGCTCTCCTGTACTACGCCTGCAGCCTCTTCTCTGTGTTAGGCCACACCCATGAATGAATTCCCCACCCATAATTAACATACTGCTCCGCCTACACTGTCTTTCTGAACATACAGGAAAAAAAAAGTGTCCCTAAAACATTTTTTTGAAATGTTGGCAACTATGTTCTTCCTTACTACAGTAGCCAGGGCATATCCATTTAAACGACGACCAATAATTAACACAAGCCACAACCACTCTTTGCTGCGGCACGCTGCACACACCGCACATTGTTCTTGCATAAGGGTGTTGCTGATTTTCACATGTCAACATTGGAAGGCATGCAAATACCAGTTGTCCTTGGATGGACAGGGAGCTAAGAAGGGAACAATAGCAGTCATACAGACATTTTTAATCCCTTCTGATCTAGGCTCTTACACTTGGTTTGCATTTCAAATGTATTGAGTTTAGAGTCAGAAATCTGGCAAACGTCCATACAGTAGGTGATCATCAGCAGGTCCTTGTGCATTAAAAAGGGACCTAAATCCAATGTAACAAGTTACTTGTGATAGAAAAAAATTATTGCTAGTTGTTCAAAATGTCCTGTATTAATATAGCACCGTCAGCCAGGACTAAGACACAGAAAGAGCATTTATATTGAAAAAGTCACTTACTTTATTACTGCAGCCTCCGATCTCTTCCTGGAGTATGCGGGAGGTCTGCTGCCACATCAGTGAATGTCTGGAAACTGTTCCTCCTTAGATACTTTTGTGTTGTCAAACCAGACAGGTAACAAACCAAATCTGTAAAATGCACTTTGTTCTCCTTCTTAACCTCTTAAAGGACAGACCTGCATTGGCCTCCTGCTAATCATAAATAAATCTGTTTGGGGGATTGCTGCATAAATTTATAACTAGGACAGCTGTATTATTTGTATCCTCTGGTGCTGTGGTAAGCAATTACGGTTATCTTCAAGGCATGCAACTGATCACTCTCTAAATTTTCAGGGTCACCAGATCTTTAAAGAAGAATTCCAGGAATTACATTTTTTCAACATACTTACAAACACTAGATTGAACTCTAATGGCATCCCAGGCTTAATCCATAGGGTTCAGTGTTGAGTTGGCCAATCTTTTGCAGCTGTAACAGCTTCAACTCTTCTGGGAAGGCCGTCCACAAAGTTTAGGAGTGTGTCTATGGGAATGTTTGATCATTCTTCCAGAAGCACATTTGTCAGGTCAGGCACTGATGTCGGACGAGAAGGCCTGGCTTGTAGTCTCCGCTCGGATTCATCCCAAAGATGTTCTATGGGGTTGAGGTCAGGACTCTGTGCAGGCCAGTCAAGTTCCTCCACCCCAAACTCGCTCATCCATGTCCTTATGGACCTTGCTTTGTGCACTGGTGCCATGGTGGTGATTGGAACACCTGAATCCAATGATTTCGAGGGGTGTATCAATACTTTTGGCAATATAATGTATGTAATGATGTCAGACGAAAAGGCCTAACTCACAGTCTCCAATCTAATTCATCCCAAAAGTGTTCTTTCGGGTTGAGATCAGGACTCTGTGCAGGCCAGTCAAGTTCCTCCACCCCAAACTCGCTCATCCATGTCTTATGGACCTTGTTTTGTGCACTAGTGCGCAGTCAAGTTGGAACGGGAAGGGGCCATCCCCAAACTGTCCTCACAAAGTTGGGAGCATGAAATTGCCCAAAATGACTTGCTATGCTGATGCCTTCACTGGAACTAAGGGGCCAAGCCCAACCCCTGAAAAACAACCCCATACCATAATCCCCCTCCACCAAACTTTACACTTGGCACAATGCAGTCAGGCAAGTATCGGTCTCATGGCAACCACCAAAACCAGACACATTAAACGGATTGCAAGAGAAGCGCAAGTCATTTCTCCAGAGAACACATCTCCACTGCTCTAGAGTCCAGTGGCGGTATGCTTTACACCACAGCATCTGACGCTTTGCATTGCACTTGGTGATGTACGGCTTGGATGCAGCTGCTCAGCCATGGAAACCCATTCCATGAAGCTCTCTATTCACTGTTGTGTTATTCTAAAGGCCACACAAAGTTTGGAGGTCTTTAGCTATTGACTCTGCAGACAGTTGGCGACTTCTGTGCACTTCAGCATGCACTGACCCTGCTCTGTCATTTTACGTGGCCTACCACTTGGTGGCTGAGTTGCTGTTGTTCCCAGTTGCTTCAACTTTGTTATAATACCACTAACAGTTGAGCCTGGAATATTTAGTAGCCAGGAAATGTCACGAATGGACTTATTGCACAGGTGGCAACCTATCATGGGACCATGCATGAATTCACTGAGCTCCTGAGAGCGACCCATTCTTTCACACGTTTGTAGAAGCAGTCTGCATGTCTAGGTGCTTGATTTTATACACCTGTGGTCATGGAGGTGATTGGAACACCTGAATCCAATGATTTGGAGGGTTGGCCCAATACTTTTGGCAATATAGTGTAGGTCCAGCCTGGATGAATGCAACTATACATAGACCATACCTGTGACATCCCCCTAGAAGCAATAGACACCACTACTCCAGTAATCTCCACTATCTTCTGGGTCTCGTGCGGAGTGGCTGCCCTGCTGTATCATGTACACAGGAGGTTTGTTGTGTGGCATGGGCACCAATTCAGAGACTGCTTTGCTTGTATGGCTCGTGACCACACCTTTCCACCTCATCCAATCAGAGAATGCGTTGTAGAACACAGAAGCCAATGGAGAACACTGGAGTATCAGTGTATACAGTGATTTCCAGCTAGATCCCACAGGGGGTGTGTGTGTGTGTGTGTGTGTGTGTGTGTGTGTGTGTGTGTGTGTGTGTGTGTGTGTGTGTGTGTGTGTGTGTGTGTGTGTGTGTGTGTGTGTGTGTGTGTGTGTGTGTGTGTGTGTGTGTGTGTGTGTGTGTGTGTGTGTGTGTGTGTGTGTGTGTGTGTGTGTGTGTGTGTGTGTGTGTGTGTGTGTGTGTGTGTGTGTGTGTGTGTGTGTGTGTGTGTGTGTGTGTGTGTGTGTGTGTGTGTGTGTGTGTGTGTGTGTGTGTTACATTGGTCCAAGCTGGATTAATGTAACTATGTAAAAAAAAAAAAAAAGTCTATACCTGGAACTCTTCTTTAGGTAACAATAATTGATTTCACACACATAGATATATATATGCACCAGTTGGGATCAGCAGAACAGGTAGATCTGCATGGCCTAACCATTTTTGTGCAATCCTGAGCTCCCAGTGGTTTGCCCATACCTCCCAACTTTCTGAGATGGGAATGAGGGATGCCCCCCTAAAAAAAAAAAAAAAAAAAAGATGATGATTGGTTAAACCCACAAGTTCTTTTTTTACCACTATTATTCCTTTTTATTGGCTCTTTAATTTATTTGCTTGCAATTTAGAAATGGGATTAAAAGGTTTTGCATTGTAAAACATTTTTAAAATAAATAGTGCATTTTATATACAACAATATAAATCAGACCAAAATAGAGGGACAACTGATGGGGAAGGAGGGTATTTGTTCCAAATGAGGGACAGTCGCTCAAAATCAGGGACAGTTGGGAGCTATGGGTATGCCCTCCTGACCCCCTGTACATTGCTCTACTGACCCCGTCTACTGCCCTATTACTCTCTGCACACTGCTCTTCATACTACTGTCCTCTGTACACTGCCCTACTTACGCTGGCTAGAACTCAGAGCTGACAGCCAGACCTGACACTAATCAAGCAAGTCAGCTTGCAGTACCAATGTTCTGCCTTCATAATGGACTCTGGCATCAGACTTGTGGGGGTGACCAGTTATTCCCCAGACATGAACAATTTGTACATGCCGAGCCAATTCTGCCTAAAGTTAACTTTTTAGGGAGGCTAAATTTATATTTTTACAGTGACAGTTTTATTATACTTTTCTACACGCCATCCTTGTCCTTTTTATTGGAGGCTTGCTAGTTAACTTCTGAAAACAAAAAGGGGAAAAAAAAAAAAAAAAAAAAAAAAAAAAGGAAGGAAGAAGGTTGATGAACCTCAGGGATCTTTGAACTCTTCCATGTTGTCCAGTTAGAACTCCACCTCTCAAGAGGTTGCCTACCCTGTCATAAAGTGGTAGTAAACTCAGTGTTTATTTTTACCTACAGGTAAGCCTTGAAAAAGTATTCATACCCCTTGACATTTTCCACATTTTGTCATGTCACAACCAAAAACGTAAATGTATTTTATTGGGATTTTATGTGATAGACCAGCACAAAGTAGCACATAATTGTGAAGCGGAAGGAAAATTATAAATGGTTTTCAAAATTTTTTACAAATAAATATCTGAAAAGTGTGGCGTGCATTTGTATTCAGTCCCCTTTACTCTGATACCTCTAACTAAAATCTAGCGGAATCAGTTGCCTTCAGAAGTCACCTAATTTGTAAATAGAGCCCACCTGTGTGTAATTTAATCTCAATATAAATACAGCTGTTCTGTGAAGCCCTCAGGAGGTTTGTTAGAGAACATTAGTGAACAAACAGCATCACAAAGGCCAAGGAACACACCAGACAGGTCAGGGATAAAGTTGTGAAGTTTAAAGTTTGGGATATTGTTTAATAAATGAACCCTGCTTTAAACATCTCACAAAAAAACAAAAAGGGGGAGGAGCACTGACACTGTACTAATGGCACTGGGCAGGAAGGGTTTAACATGAGGCGATCAAAAGATTTAACTGTGTGCAGGGCATGTTTTTACTAGGGGGCGGGGTGTATGCTCCACTGTAAGCACACTGCTTTGGATGGCGGTGCACAGCCATCCAAAGCAGTGCGCCTGAACCGACAGGGAGGAGAACGTTTAGTAAACAAAAAAAAAAACAGTCCTCCTCACCGTCGGAGATCCTCTGTAATCACTGGCCGGGACCCAGTGATTGACAGCTGCGGCCCTGAATGGCCTGTAGAAGCATTTCTGCTATAGGGCGGTCAGGAAGCGGTTAAGGTAAGTCTTTATGAAAGCTTCACTACTGCTTTAAAGCATTTACGCAAACAGGTCAGCTTAACAGCCACAAACTAGCATTTCCACAAAGAGGTCAGCAATGCATCGTGGCACTCATATTTGCCTCATGCTAGGCTTAAATGAACAAGAGGCTAAATAGAACAGACAATAAAACATTTTGAATTTTTAAATATCTAACTTGGACATGGCAAATACTTGGCATGGGAAGAAGCACACAATTCACAGGCTGCTGTGAGATTAGAGAACATTTGGACTTTAAGAATGTAGGGTGAGAAGGCATAATTAGCTATACAACAGGCACGAGTCTGCATTCACCAAGCCACCTTTTTTTTTAAACTTGTGGTTTTGTAATTCATGAATGCATCTGCATTAAGGATATTTAGCTAAAGAAAGACAGAAAAAAAAATTGGTGCAGAATCTGTTTTTTCCCCCTACACAAAATGAAACTATATCTTATTGTGATTATTTTATCCCATGAATGTCCCATGAATGTTTCCTTGCAAATGATTGGGTATTCTTTGCAAAGTGAAACTTTCCCTCATTTACTAAGCTCTGGAGCAAGTGCACTTGTAGTGCACAGTATATTTGCCTTTAGTAAATCAACACCTATGGGCAGGGGCGGACTGACAACTCATGGGGCCCCCAGGCAATAGGGGATCATGGGGCCCCTGTGTCCTTGCCCAAACTCAAAAAGCCTATGAAAAAAGGTACCAGGGGCATCTCATGGGGCCCCGACTGACCCCAGGCCCTCGGGCAGTGCCTGAGTTTCCAAATGGTCAGTCCGCCCCTGCCTATGGGACATACCAGAAGTCAAGCAGAGCACAATGGCAGCTGAAGGTAACCATTGTATCCTTATGGCCAAATCTAGCAGGGAAAAAATAAATAAATAAATAAATAAATAAATAATCACACAAGATGCGATCTCGGCTTCATCCGTTCTTTATTTAATCTGTAGCAATAAAACAGCATATTTTAAAAACGGTTAAAATCCACCCGGTCAACTACCATTTCACTTCTTAACTGCAAGCTTTCTCAAAGGCAATCAAATTCAATAGCAGGTGAAAAACGGTCATTGGCTTGATGAATTTAAAGCTTAAATTTTGTCAAAAATTCTTAAAAAAAAAAAAAAAAAAAAAAGAGCAAAAAATCAGCAAAAATGAAGTGTCCCTTGTGCTGGTGACTGCTCTGTTTTGGGAAATGTTCATTCCTTTGCCTCCCCAGCACCCCTGCAGATGTGATCCTCCACTGCTGCAGGCCTGTCTTAGGCACATGTCAAGAGTGTGGACTATGCCCATCCTTTCCACCCCCTCCTCCATTCATATTTTGTACTAATCGCTTCCCACAGTGAAAAGTGCTCTGTGAATGGAGGACGGGAGGATCAATGAAAGTTCAGCCTCCTCCATTCATACAAAGCTTTTCATTATGAGAAAAAAGACAGTACAGCTTCTATGAATGGAGCAGGGTGGGTATAGTCAGTACTTTTGAAGAATGCCTGTGACAGGTACAGCAGCTTGTATTAACCTCCCGCAATGCCAACAGATCACAGCTATGGAGGTATCTGGGGAGGGCAGAGGAAAGAACATTTTACTAAATAAAAGCAGCCATCATCAAATCTATATGTCAGGGATGGGATGAAAATCATACCAGCTAGAAATCCACAAGCTGGAGAAGGCTGGATCATGGATAAAGAGAAATAACCAAATAACAAATCCAACAGCAGCAGACATAGCAGCTCAATCTTTAAAATGTGGCAACCCCCCCCCCCCCCCCCAAACAAAACCCCAAAAAAACCTAGCAGTATATGCAAAACAACGTTATTTATTAAATTTGCCTTTATTATTTTAAAAGCAGCAAAAAAAAACTCTGAAGACATTTCATTTTGTTTCACACTTTCACAACACCTTTTATAGACGCTCTCCTGTACATAGCAGATCTTGCGAACTTTCAGCTAAGTGTCTCTGGATGGTTCCTGGGCCATTCTCTATGATGCAGCTGAATTTTTCTACCTCTTAAAGGTTGCAAATGGTTACACTAGCTGTTGTAAACGGATACAGCCAACAGCAACATAGAAATATAGAAATCTGCTGCCAAGGAGTAACCTGCACCTATTTCAAGAGACAACGGAGCCGATTAGCAGAAACCTGCAGCTCTTAAAAGTATTGCGCCTGAACGTTATGCAATTAGTAATATGCCCGCTTAATAATTATTACAAAAAATATCTTGCATTTTAAAAAGGAATTTCCACTCACAGCAAGATTTGGCATGGTCATTGTAGTAATAGAAGTTTAGCAATAATCATGCTTACTTAGATGCTGCAAACTTTGCATTTTTGTTGGGGATCTTTGCTGTTTAAATATGTAGGGCAGAGCCTTTAAAAATAGTGCACTGAAAAAAGA